GACATCAAGATTCAGTGTATGAATCTCAACAATGGTGACAAACAGAATATTCAATTAGGAAAAGGAAATTACTAAGACAATTCAGATCATAATTTATTCATACCGCAATGCATGATGGGAGCCATGAATGAGTTTTGATTGGTGGCACCCAGAATGCACTGCAACATGCTATATTATTGTCACCATTGTTGAGAATCACAGGCTGATTCTTGATGTATGTGTGTGCCCATAAAGTAATTAGAATAGTAAGCTTTTAAGAAATCTTTTGGATAATATTTAAAATTCTGAAAATGTTATATTGTGTAGTCAAAAGGTTAAACTCTACAAAAGAGTTTTGTGACAAATGATGATTATGTCAAAACATAACCAACACCAGCGCATCAGCTTTCCTTGTTGTTCATCTGGCTGTTATAACTCATGTACAGCAGCCAAACAACATCTAAAGTTAATGATTCAAGAGTCCAACTAAAGCAGACACTGATCACCATAATGGTGACTTTAAAAATGTGACGTTCTCCTTCAGTGATTCTGCTTATCATCAGGTGTCTTCAATAATGCTCAATCATCACTCAATTATACACTTAATTATCTCATTAACTTTAACACTCCTGAGTCTAGATCCAAATAAACTCCCAGTAAAGTTAATTTAACACTGGAGTTTTTGCTGTGGGTGGAATAAAAATGTGGCAGGACTTTTACTTTCTGACCCCTGGACTTTCCACCTCTGACCAAAACTCGGGTCTTAGGAGGTTAAAGGTGACATTATGCCCCTTTTCACAAGATGTAATATAAATCTATGGTGTCCCCAGGATGTGTCATTGACATTTCAGCTCAAAATACCCCCAGATCATTTATTATAGCTTGTCTAATTTGCCCCTTTTTGGGTGTGAGGAAAAACGCGCTGTTTTTGTGTGTCCCTTTAAATGCAAATGAGCTGGTTCTCCACCTTCATTCAGATGAGAGTCGATCCTTTACACCAGCTTCAGATACTCCGTGAATAACAAAACACGTGAATCTCACTCATCCAAAATATCAGAAATAACCAGTAGCGAGTGCATCCTTACAGAGAGACTCAGGAAGCGTTTAACTTTTAGACGCACCTAGATGTTTTTGAATAGTTAGTGGATACATTTATGTAGTTGTTGTGGAGTAACATTTATTCATCTCATCGACTTGCATCTACCGTCATGTTTAACTTTCACACAAGAAGTGTTCATTTTGTCAGACGAGACGAGACATATGTTCGTCAACTACCTTTTTTTCCATGACTAAGACGAGACGATGACGATACTGCACCAATGTCCAAAAACGCTGACTAAGACTAAATTATGCATTATTGTTGACGAAAAAAGACGAGACTAAAATATTTTGCATAAAATAAAAACTAAGATATTATCTCTCTTCATTTTCGTCTAAATCGTCTCTACTTTTTCATCATGAGATAGAAAAAAAACTGTACTTTTACTTCGTTCCTCTCGTTACTTTATTTTAATGCAATGTTATTGTTAAATGCGTAGTTTATTCCAAGCGCGCTGTATCTTTCTTCTGGGCATGAGCGATGCTCAATTCACCAATGAATCACTCTTTTGAGTCGGTTCTGTTCAAAGACTTCATCAAATAAGTTGGCAGATCTGTCTAAATCGGTTCGCGAATCAGTTTGAATGATCTGTTCAGTTTCCTGCATGCACTGAATCATCTGAAGCGCTTTCCATTCTTCCACTCGACTCGGATTTAAGAACATCAAGAGCGTTGGATGAAGTGGCCGTGGACCTACAGTGCAGTCAAGTGAAAGCGAATCTGCAAATGCATCATAGTTTTTACCAGCGACGAAGATCTTTATTAGTTGAACATCTTCATAAGATGTTTTTGAAATTCCACACTGTAAAAAATAAAATCTTAAAAAAACGGTCAATGACTGGCAGCTACGGCTGCCAAACAAAAACCGTTAAAATAAAGTAAAATATCCTAATTTAAATTAAGTGCAAAAAACTTTTCCAAAATTTGTCCTTAAATGTTTTACAGAAAAACATTGTTATTTTACAGCTATTTCCTGAATTATTATGATCAAACACCTTCACTGTAAAAAAAAAAACTGCCAAATGACTGTCAGCAATGGCTGAGATTATTGCAGAAATCTTAATTAAGCTTTTTAACAGAAACACAGTTATTTCACATATATATATTTCCTGAATTTTTTACTAAAAACATATTCACTGTAAAAAGTAAATATCTTGCTATAAACTACATGCATGATTTACTGTGATTATACGTCAATGCATCAGCAACTACACAGTTACTGTCTGTTAAATGAAGCAATACACAGCATTTCATCAGTGTTTCTCTGCTCGTCCTACACTAAAACACAGTCTCTACTCTTCAACACAATGGTGACACACAAAACACACCATACAGAAACACTTTACATCCCAACAGAACATTAAACACTAACAGATCTCTTAAGATCTCTGCATCCTCACTTATTACAATCCAGACTTTATTTCTCTCATACTAACATTCTTATTGAGAATTAACAGAGGTTTAGAAGTTGATATTTTATTGAAAATAATAAAGTTTGATGTCACCATGATGGAGATCAGTGTTTGCTTTAGTTTGCCTCTTGACCCTTTAATTTTAACATTATTTTTTCTCTGGCTGCTTTAACTGTGTGTTTCCGATACATACTTGTTATGGTAGTGATCATACAGACTCACTCAGACATCAAGAATCAGCGTATGAATCTCAACAATGGTGACAAAGAAAAAAATTCTGATCAACTCTGACCTATTATAAAGTCACAAAAAGGCTTTGTTGATGGTCACCATTGTTGAGATGCATATGTTGATTCTTGATGTCTCTATACTCCTAACAAAATAGACCAACTCAAAACATTTTATGTAGAATATATATTTTTTAAATTTCAGATAGCTATAATACTGATGCCACAATATTTCAACAAGTCATGTGAAAAAAATATGATATTAATAATTGCCTTTGTATAACAATTAAGTCCATCTATATATAATGTATTCACAGCTAATATTAGAGATTTGACCGTCATATCAGTGAATCAGACCACCATATGATGACTATAAAATCACCAATAAATGACCAAGATCATCTGATATTTTCTGCAGCATTTATTGCCATAACAAATGTGTATCAATAACACAGTAAAAGCAGTCAGAGAAAAACTAATGTTAAAAACTCAAGGGTCATGAGCCCAACTAAAGCTGACACTGATCTCAGTCATGGTGGCATCAAATTTCTGTTAAAGTTTTTTGCACTTTATTTAAATTAGGATATTTTACTTTAATTATATGGTTTTTGTTTGGCAGCCGTAGCTGCCAGTCATTTGACCCTTTTTTTACGATTTTTTTTTACAATGAAGGTATATGATTGTTATTTTACAGGTATATTCTGAATTATCACGGTGTTTTTCAGTTTATTTAATTTAGGATGTTTTACTTTAATGTTACAGTTTTTTGGGGGCTGCCAGTCATTTGACCGTTTTATCATTTAACTGTTTTGTTACTGTTTAATTACAGATTATATTTGTAATTTTACATACATTTTTATGTAATTTAAGAAAACAGAAAAAATACTGTATGAAAAATACAATCAATTTCCTGTATACAAAATGTGAATTACTGCAATTTGTCATTGTCACAATACCTAAAATAACAACTGAATTTTTATTTTACAAATATTATTTGTAATTTAACAAAAACAGTGTTTTGAGTACAATTTAAAATTAAAGAAAATGATCGTCAAAAAAGCAGTTATTTTCTGTAAAATTAGGAATTTTTTTCAGGACTATATAAGCCTAGCCTACATTCTATTTAATTTCATTCAGGTAATGTATTTTACAACCAAACAGATTATTGCGCCACGATAGCACTACAAAGTATGACATTACCCGTTTTTTTTGACATATACATACATTTTTACATTAAATAAACTGCATTGTCCACAGTTTATGTGGACAATGCTCGACCTGAAAACGGTAAATTGTAGTTTTCCTTGCTTTACCCCGGTCTTAAAGTAAAAAGATGACTGAAAAATAGTAGTATTTAATTAAATGCATTTATGGTGAGATTACTACATTTTCATTTCAATTTGTGTTCGTTTTGACCACGAACTATGCGCTGTCACTTTAATTGAGCGCGTGCAGCACAGCAGAAATAGACTCGGAGCAGAAACGATCGCTGCACTGCTGTATGCACCGCATCTGGAACGGATCGCCGGACCGCACCCGCGTGCAGTGTGAAAGCTCTAACCTGTTAACATGGGTACGGAGAAAAAATACGAGAGCAGAAATAAAATAAGTATACCCAGAAAAACTGAAAAGAATAGGCCTACTGTACTGTAGGCCTAACATACAACCTATATAACCTTTGTAACCTTTGTAACTTGTCAGTCGGACTCTGTTGGGCTTGGGCCCCAGCTTTTGAATTGTGTTGGTTCAAAATAAAATACTCTTCAGAACAAGTTCATCATTTGTGAATGTGTCTCTTAAATCAGAAAACCAGACACGTTTCACAAAGTTGCATTCAACAAAAATCATTAAACAAGTGTATTTTGTCAGGTAATTATGACATTTAACCATTATTTGAGATGTGTGAAACAATGTATGAAATGGTTATCAGAAATAATCTCAAATGATTTATTAAAAAAAAAAAGACTAAAATGTGTTGACTAAAACTTGACTAAGATAGATTGAGTTTTCTTTTGACTAAAACTAGACTAAAATGACGAGACTTTTAGTCGACTAAAACTTGACTGACAAAAAAAGATATGTGAATGACTAAATATGACTTAAACTAACAAGGACATTTGGCACAAGACTAAATTGAAAATAGGTGACAAAATTAACACTACACACAAGTTGACACAGTTCCCTTAGGCATTTATAAGACAGCGGTGACATACTTTGGTCCAATAGTATTCAGTGCTCGTCTGTACAGCAACACATTTTTTTGTTGTTTTCTCATTTTTTGTAGGTAGTATGGGAAGCCTTAATTTAATTCCACCAAATTGTGAGTATGAACATATACAAATGTTCACAATATTGCATGCATTTATTTGCTATAGAGTTGTCAAAAAGTACAGACTTCGGTACCAAAAGGTACTAATTTTTAAAAAATGTGACGCTTTTAGCGTTGTTGAACGGAATCGTAAAGCCTCTGATTGGCCATTGTTGGCCACGCGCTCATCGGATATCTCTGTGATTGGCTACAATGATCAACACACGGGAGTATTTGAGAGTACACGGAAGTGTTTGAAAGTATTTTTTAAAAACGAGAGCGGAGTGTTAAAAAAAATATGGACGTAGAGTCTGTGACGTCACCCGTATGTTTGTGAAGAGCGTTTTTGAAGCCTAAAGTGGGCAGAGCCGGCCGTCGCCATCTTGGCAGCGCGTCACTCCCGGATAACAGAAAATGGGCAGAGGCGGGACGTGGGTGGAGCTGAGGTGCCTGTTGCTAAAACCACGGCCACCTAGCTCAACGTGATCCGAGTTAGCTCAGGCTAAGAAGCTAATGCTAAATGTAACTGGCCTCACGCTAAAGTGACAGCTGACTTGAAGTAAAGCCAATAGTTAAAGTTTCTGCCCTTCGAAATACTATAATAGTTAAAAGACATAGCTAAAAGTGGTTGTTCTCTCGATACTCGACGACGCCGAAATCCAAAAGCGTGGGCGAAGGTAGAATGCCGATTCGAGTATTAAACTGTATGAAATAATCCCGAAAAAAGCACAAACACGACAGAGATGGCAAGTTCTGCAGCTTGAATTAGCTGAGGTGAAAAACGGCTAGTAGTGACGTCAGCGGCAATCCACCTGTCACTCAAGTGGCCACGCCCTTAATTATGCAGATTTTTAAGGCTTAATATAATTTAAACAGATGAGTTATAAAAAAATTCACCCCTCTCACAGTTGTCATGAAGGGCAAAATAAGCTATATAGACCAAAACCACTTTTTGCACCAGGCTGTAAACAAATTTTTTTCTGCTGTAAAGTTGGGCATTTTAACATGGGGGAGATACAGATTTGACTCACTTTTGCATCCAGCCTCAAGCGGCCAGTCGATGAATTGCAGTTTAATTCACTTCCGTGTTGGTTTCAAGAGACATCAAATTTATGATTTGATGACCTCCCTGTCTCGGTTGCCGCTTGGTTTGAAAGCACAAGCCGGACCGGTCCGCTGATAGACGCCTTTCAAATGCTCCTGTCTGTATCTGTGTAAGCGCTCGATGAAGAGCGTCATTGATGTACAACATGTTTTTGATGCGCTGATCATTATAGCCAATCACAGACATATCCGATGAGCGTGTGAGTACAATGGGCAATCAGAGGTGTTTACAGCGCTAATTTCAGTACCATTTGGTACAAAGTCTGTACTTTTTGACAACTCTAGTTGCTTTATGACTTTGACATATAATTTACTGTTTATTAATCTGTTTGTAATCGGCAATCTGTTTAATTTGTATGCACATTATCTTATACTCTCTCTCTTCTTCAGTGTCCTTGAGAAGGATGGTGTTGGTGGGAATGACTGGAGCAGGGAAAAGCTCTTCTGGAAACACAATCCTGGGCAGAAAAGCCTTCAAAGTCGCCAAAAGTGGTTCATCTGTGACCAAAGAGTGTGGGAAAGAGACTGGAGAAGTGGCTGAGAGAGAAATTACACTGGTGGATACACCCGGTATGTTTGACACAGATATTTCAGAGAAGGAGCTTCTGGAACAGAAGATCAGTAAGTGTATAAATATGACTGCACCTGGACCTCACACCATCATCCTGGTCATTAAACTGGGTCCGTTCTCTGAAGAAGAGAGAAACTCTGTGGAGAAGATCAGAGCCATATTCGGAGCAGAAGCAGATAAACACACACTCATCCTCTTCACACATGGTGATAAACTGACCAGCACTATCGAGAAACACATCAGTGAAGCTGGTAAGGATCTTAAAGAAATCCTGAGGCGCTGTGGAGGAAGATATCACGTGTTCAATAATAAAGACGTGGATGATCGTAATCAAGTCACAGAGTTCCTGCAGAAAGTGGAGGACATGGTCTCTGTTAATGGAGGAGGATTTTACACCAGTGACTCTTACCAGGACGTGGAGCTCATGCTGAAAACTAAAGAAGAGGAACTGAAGAAGCTGTACGAGAAGAAACTAGAAGAGAAAGAGATGGAACTGGAGTCCAGATTTACTGAAGAAAATAGGAAACTACAGGAGAGAATAGACACACTATCAGCATCTGAGCATGAAAAAGAAAAGAAGATCAAAGAGCTGGAACGACTGAATCAGAGTAAAAAGTGTAAAAAGACTGAGTACAAGCGTTATTATAAAGCAAAGCTCGGAGAGACCAGACAGGAGGCAGAACAGACTTGTGTTAATCAGAATATAATAAAGATCATAAAGGAGTTTTTCAAGAAACATTAATCACATTGCAGTTATATGCATGTCTATACATATATAATGTGTGTATATATAATATATATATGTATGTGTAAAATTTCAGTTCATAAGGTCTATGTAGTGCATAGTGTACAATAATCTTAATATTACTTATAAATAAGCTTTTGCTTCTGTAAATCTCATTAAATTGGCATGTCTTGGGGGCATGAAAGGAAATGATACTCTTGACATATTTAAAAAAAAAAATTCCTTCATTTCTTATGAATGTAACTCTACACCCTTACCTCATTTAGTATTAGGTTTTTAGTTGTTTAGTTTTTAGTATTTAGTTGTTGTTTTTTAGCTCTGTCGAAATATATATGAAAATACTTGAAAATGTGATTAATTTTTTTGATGCAGCCTAATCAAAATACAGTGCGACATACTGTACATTGGGAATATTTAGTTGACTTTTTCGTCAATTTACACAAGCTTTGGCGCTTAGATGGTTATAATATTATGTCAATACAATGCCTACGAAGGGAAGGACGTATGGGATTAATATCCTGCCATTCAAAACTGAAAATAAAGTTCTGAAAGGTTGAAACTAAGTGTTCGAAAACTCAAAATCGTACAAAAAAAAGTTTTGCAAGATCGAAAAATAAGATTTGCAAGCTTGCAAAATGTAAAAAAAGAAAAATATCTCTGCAAACGTTGTTTTCGAAATTTCCTTCTTCAGATCTGCATTTTTTTTACGATGTTGCGCAAACAATTTTTCAGAGTTTCAAATTTGTCAGTGTTCTCCCACTGTATTAGTTTGTTTTCCAGGTTTGAAACCTTGTAAATGGTGATCTGAAAACTGGTGTGCGAATAGGTGAAAAAAAGTTTTGAAACTCTGAAAACTGAGGTTCCAAAGGGCGAAACTTATTACATTACATTACATTAGCACTCCTATTGCAGACTCTACTTTTTCAGAGCTGAGTTTACAACACCCAGTTTGCGGAGATACGCCCACACAGTTGCGAGCTTGCGACTCACGTGATTTGTGGCAGCTTTGTCACGCAGTTCTGCTCTGAAACTGAAACTCAGACTGAGCGAAAATAAAGCTTCGCAACCTCGCAACTTAAAAAAAAAGCCTGGAGGGAGGGCCTTCTGCTCTTGGCCAATGCTTTGCTGTCTGCTGACGTACAGTCCAATCACAAGCCCTATTTACTGGAAAGGTGGGATTGACCGACTGCTCCGCCAATGACGAAAGCGTATGGGATGAATATAAATATGAATATATATATATATATATATATATATATATATAAACTAATACAATACAACTTGTGTGTGCAAAATCCAGAATCACATGAATGTGCAGCATTTTGTACAACTAGAGCCATAGTTGTTAATACAAAACCTCGATTTTGTATTAATGTAGCTCAGAATTTGCGCATGCAACAAGTAAGATGTGCAATTGTGGATGAGGTGACACGTGTGCATTCATTGACTCGTTTCTGAGTCGATCCTATTTGATTCATTTGGATTTTGAGACTTTTTCGCCGGTTTAGCCTTGCACGATCCACACACACTGTCTGAGAAAACCTGCTAGCACTAGATGGCAGTAGCTGCTAAAACAGACAACGGCAGCATAATCAAGCGTTCTTCCGCATTTAAGACGCTTAATGAGAGTGATATTGAAGCACCAAATTTAGTACACAATGTAGGCCTATTAATAAAGTATACTTTGTATAGGCAAACAGATTAAATCAGATTATGAACAATAGGAGTGCAAATGTAATGTAATAAGTTTCGCCCTTTGGAATCTCAGTTTTCAGAGTTTCAAAACTTTTTTTCACCTATTCGCACACCAGTTTTCAGATCACCATTTACAAGGTTTCAAATCTGAAAAACAAACTATACACTGGGAGAACAGTGACAAATTCGAAACTCTGGAAAAATGATTGCACAACACCGTAAAAAAGAGTGTTGCACTTCTGAAGAAGGAAAACTCAAAAACAAAATTATGTTTGCAGAGATTTTTTTTTTTTTTTTTACCACTTTGCAAGCCTGCAAAACTCTGTTTTCAGAGTTTCAAAACTTGTTTTCACACATTCGCACTCCAGTTTTCAGATCACCATTTACAAGGTTTCAAACCTGGAAAACAAACTAATACAGTGGGAGAACACTGACAAATTTGAAACTCTGAAAAATTGTTTGCGCAACATCGTAAAAAAAATGCAGATCTGAAGAAGGAAATTTCGAAAACAACGTTTGCAGAGATATTTTTCTTTTTTACATTTTGCAAGCTTGCAAATCTTATTTTTCGATCTTGCAAAACTTTTTTTTGTACGATTTTGAGTTTTCGAACACTTAGTTTCAACCTTTCAGAACTTTATTTTCAGTTTTGAATCATGGCAGGATATTAATCCCATAAGGACGTGGCTAACGGTTCTGGCACCAACAACCCAAGAATGACAGACAGGCTGAAATGTCAGAAGAACACACCGAACTTCTTGCTTCATTGAAAACGGACATCGCAACACTGCACTTACAAGCGAGTTTGAGGACATTGAATCTGAAATAAAGGCCGTTAAAACCGAAGTTGTTGACGGCATTGACCTGTTACTCGCTGATCAAAAGTCCATGAAGAAAACTGTAATGAAAGGAGGCCTCAACGCATGCTCTGATAAGATAACAGGCCTAGAAAATATGTGTGTAAGCTGGAAGCAGAGATCGCTAAACTACAGAAAAAATGTCTTGATATGGAGGGACGAATGAGGAGATGCAACATTCGGATTATAAATGTGTCAGAGACACCAGGCTCAAGTTGCCCTGAGGGCGCATCTGTCTCTAAACTGCTAAAGGAAGTATTGGGTTTGGAAACTGAGATTCGAATAGACAGATTGCACCGTGAAACCCAGCTCAAACAACCTGACAGCAAACCTTGAGTGATAGTAGCCAAACCGCACTATTATCAAGACTGCATGCAAGTTCTCCACAATACAACAGAGCCATATATCCATATTCCCGGACTTTCCTCCAACCCAACTGGATAACTCGGGATAAACTCCAGCCAAACTCCAGATAACTCATGACGGGATTAAGAAAGCATTCAAAGATGCTACCTTGGCGATGGCCTATAAGTCAAACCTCACTGCTAGTATGGAGGTTTATCAGAGGTAATAGGGCCTGATCGTTCTCCTGATAAGTAGCCAGCAGCCATTTAACCCTGTAGCCTTCTGAGAAAACCAGGTTGCTGCTGGAAGAGGTGTTAGTGAGGCCAGCAGGGGACGCTCACCCTGTGGTCTGTGTGGGTCCTAATGCCCCACTATACTGTCAAAGAGCACCGTCCTTCCTTCGGATGAGACGTTAAACCGAGGTCCTGACTCTCTGTGGTCATTAAAAATCCCAGGATGTCCTTCGAAAAAAGAGTAGGGGTGTAACCCCGGCATCCTGGCCAAATTTGCCCCTTGGCCTCTGTCCATCATGGCCTCCTAATCATCCCCATATACTGATTGGCTAAATCACTGTCCCCTCTCCACCAGTAAGCTGGTGTGTGGTGGGCGTTCTGGCGCAATATGGCTGCAATATTGGTGGTGGTTGAGGAGATTCCCCCTTCCATGTAAAGCGCTTTGAGTACCTAGAAAGGCGCTATATAAATGTAACAAATTATTATTATGATAAAGTGTAAATATTATTATTAAGTCAAGTCACCTTTATATATATATATTGCTTTTTACAATATTGTAAAATTGATTGTATCAAATCAGCTTCACAGTGATAACATAATAATATAATAATACAACAAAGTTTGTTTCTAGAAGAAAATTGCATCATCGTCCACCTGAAGTAACATTTAATAGCTGGAACGTGAAATCTTTAAACCACCCATTTAAAACTAATAAGCGTAACTTTAGCATCTACAACTGGGGTTGTATCTAAATCAGCCCATTCATTCTGACTATTTCTGAATACATGCTATAGCTGACACATGGCAATTTCGAAATCCTAATTCAAGAAAGTTTATTTATTTTTTATTTTTTTCACCAGTACACAGAACTTATTCTTATATATACTTATAGATAATTTTTTTATAGATCAGTCTCCTTTCCTACTCACAGGGACAGATTATATCATAGCTCGAAGGTGAAGAAAGCACACATTACTGAAACAAACCCCATCAGCTGAGCTTATTGTAGTCACATGCACTGTAAAAAAAAATCCTAATTTTACAGAAAATAACTGTGCTTTTTTGACGATCATTTTCTTTCATTTTAAATTGTACTCAAAACACTGTAAAATTACAAATAATATCTGTAAAATAAAAATTCAGCTGTTATTTTAGGTATTGTGACATTAATGACAAATTGCAGTAATTCACATTTTTTTATACAGGAAATTGATTGTATTTTTCATACAGTATTTTTTCTGTTTTCTTAAATTACATAAAAATGTATGTAAATTACAAATATAATCTGTAATTAAACAGTAACAAAACAGTTAAATGATAAAACGGTCAAATGACTGGCAGCCCCCAAAAAACTGTAACATTAAAGTAAAAAATCCTAAATTAAATAAACTGAAAAACACTGTGATAATTCAGGATATACCTGTAAAATAACAATCATATACCTTCAGTGAAAAAAAAATCGTAAAAAAAGGGTCAAATGACTGGCAGCTACGGCTGCCAAACAAAAACCATGAAATTAAAGTAAAATCTTCTAATTCAAATAAAACAAAAAAACACTGTTATTTCACAGGTATTTCCTGCATTATTATGATCATATACCTTCATTGTAAAAAAATCGTAAAAAAAGGGTCAAATGACTGGCAGCTACGGCTGCCAAACAAAAACCATATAATTAAAGTAAAATATCCTAATTTAAATAAAGTGTAAAAAACTTTAATAGAAATGTGATGTCACCATGATTGAGATCAGTGTTTGCTTTAGTTGGGCTCATGACTCTTGAGTTTCAACATTACTTTTTCTCTGGCGGCTTTAACTGTGTGTTGATGCACATTTATTATGGCAATAATTGCAAGAGAAAATATAAGATGATCTTGGTCATTTATTGATGGTT